ACTCCGAGGATTTTCGGGTTATTCACCGTCGGTATTGTTACGTCATCGACGTGAATACCCAGTTGCAGTCTGACCTCCTTCGTCCAGGTGGTGAAAAGGGTTGCCGAGGATTTCGCAGGGAATAGAGCAAGGCTCCATACAGTGAATAAGCGAGAAGGTTCGGAGAGGTAACCGTTTACTTTCAAGCACAAGTCATCATGCATAGGAGATTATATTAACTCCCTCTGATGGCTGAGTAAGCTTTGAGATGTAATAATTAAACAGTAGCGGGGACAGGACACCACCCTGTGGTACCCCCTGTTTAATTTTACGTGGCTTGCTAGTTTTGTCTCTGAAAATTACTGACGAGTGTCAGGTAATTAGCCGACCACCGTTTGAGTCCCTGTGGGAGTGAGGAGGCCTCTATATCTTCTAGTAGCGTTGAATGACTGACAGTGTCGAACGCCTTGGACAGGTCCAACGCTACTAGAATAGTTCTCTCACAGGGGCGGATTCGGTTAAGGCCACGAGTTATCTGAGTGTTTATGGCGTTAAGTGCTGTTGTTGTGCTATGCACTTTACGGAACCCATGCTGATGCTTCGCTGGGGTCAGGTGGTTCGTAAAGTACGGGAGCAGCAGGGCCTCGAGCGTTTTCGCTACCGGGGAAAGGAGAGTTATCGGGCGATAAGACTCTCCTGTGTTGGCTGGTTTCCCTGGTTAGAGCAGTGTTCGAAGTAGTTGTTGTTTAAGATTGAAAATGAGAATGTGTGTGTGAGTTTGTGTGTAAAATTTCAAAATTAAATTGCTTGCAAACGTTAAGAATTTGAAAAATTCCTCTCAGCGGTTCTACCTTCCCATTTTTTATCATGGTATACAATATAGAAATTAGAAAATTTTAGTTGAGAAAAAGAAGTAGACGCAAAGGATTTCACAAAAATGTGTTGAAATGCTATTATTTTGGGCAAACTTTACTTCAAGGACCCCCGATTTTAGGGGCGGAAGCCTTCTAGTTTTTAAAATATATAGTATCAAAGTTTTTTTTTTTTTACTTGAGAAATCAGCGACACCGTATATTAGACAAAGCAATACAAACATATACGCCAAAAACTCTTGACACCAGTTAAAATTGTTTCAGCATGCATTAATAGGTATTTTTACTTGAGTATCACTTAGGTATGAAGTAATATCGTCTAAAAATTACGTAGGTGAAGCCATTTGCAACTCAGCGTGAATGCTCCAATATAAACAATGAAAGGAATATGTTACCACATGGGTCAAGCAATATAAAAAATATAAATATAATGCTGCTGAACACCTTTTTGCATTGAACGTCTTTCTGCGTAGGCGGCCTGCGGCCGCGCTTAGGGATTATAGCCCTCACTACGTAGAATTTTCCTTTCTGTGCTGCCAAAGAAAAGGGGATGAACACCTTTTGCATAGAACACCTTTCTACGTAGGCGGCCTTCGGCCGCGCTTAGGGGTTATAACCCTCACTACGTAGAATTCTCCTTTCTGTGTTGCCAAAGAAAAGGGGCTGAACACCTTTTGAATAGAACACCTTTCTGCGTAGGCGTCCTTCGGCCTCGCTTAGTGATTATAGCCCTCACTACGTAGAATTCTCCCATGATTCAATA